TATTCTAGTAGGAACTTCCAATCATTATCCACCAACGATCCTGACAGAAATCGAGGATGAAATCACGGTAGGTTTCGCAGCTAGCGTGTTATTTCTAGAGCCCTAAGTTGGCATCTAAACATTCATAATTTTGACTCGAACCAATTCACAGATATTAACATATCAGTGGTAACTGTCTCACAAGACTTCCTTCCTGACATGGCTGAACTGAATCGCTGCTCACTTGTTAGAAGTACAACAGTAGAATGAAACAACTATCCAATTATGCTTCCTTGATGTATTGGCTAAAATCAGTCCGTGATGTAAACGATTAAAATTTGCGATTTAGTTGTTACTCTATATCACTTTAAATATTCATACATATTTGACTGGTATTAATACGAAGAAAACTTACGTATAAAAATATATTTATTTTAAATAGTTACTGTCTTAAAATACTTTATTAATTGGCGAACACATTCAAATGAAATTGCCTTATTCAATAGAGAAAAAGAAAGAACTAATTGTTCACTTTTTCTGGAAATTTCGTCAAAATAAATAGGCAACCATCACTTATTTATAATGTAAATGACGTCAAATTGAAAACTGACACACTCATAATCATCATCATCATCAACATTACAAACAAAATGAGAGAAAAAGTGAACGACAGTAAGTAATATAAGTAGTAGGTGTTGTCGTTTCTTTTTTAAAAAGAAGGAAGAGATTCAACAACAAGAGATGACAACAACACCACTAATGATAATGTTACGATGATAAAATAATAGGGAAAACTCACTGTTGACTGTTTTTTTTTAAAAAAAGAGTATCACTTCATCACCAAATAGATAACATTCACTGAATAATTGTTTTGAAAATGTTTCTTACGACAGTTCGTGCAACAGGACTACTTTGAACTTTCAGTTATATGTTAAAATGTGCTAATTATCAGTATATAAAACATATAGAAAAAAAGTGATTTTGTCGAACATAGCCACAATTTCAAAAGATAATGACAATAATATTAATAGTAAGTTGTATTCAATATAGAGTAATCTCAGTGAAGATATTATTGAAAATTAAAGATCAGCTGTTCGTTGTCTTGTCCTGGTATAAAATTCTTCAACAATGTATGCTCATAATCTTACTACAGAAAGAGGTGAGACTATAATTTATGGACAACCTTTGAGTGACGATAAACTGACCTTGAAAGTACCCACCTAATAACTAGGACCAAATGAGGGTAATGAATTAGAATTATGATTTATAGTTGATGGTTAAGGTTAGAAATTAGATTTAGGGTTTTCATTACGAACTGACATTAGCTATAATGTCAAAACTCTATTTATTCAAATAGATGAGTGAATTTCGCGCCCAAATTCGAAACCTGTTATCTTATACGTGATTGGTTCGTCCATAAATTATAATCTCGCCCAGATAGAGTTCATGTTTCAATAATTATCCAGATGAAATTAATCTATGATTAATACAACCTTCAAATTTATTGTATTATAACTTTTATTAATATAAACTTGCGATTTCATTAACCAGCAGTTACAAGTTATATCCACAGAAATCTAATTCTGATGGATGAATATTCTTGAAACTTATTCGGATTAAACAATATTCTAATTAGAATTACATTTCATTAGATATCTAAACAAAAATGTGTTTTTCTCTTTTTAGACAATTAGAACTTGACAAATGTACATTTTAATTTAAAACTCAAATTAATTTACTACATAAATTACATTATGTATTAAAGGGAATTAAAGAAAGAAACAAAAACACGTAACTTAACACGAAGTTGATTATCAACAACTCAACTATGTATTCAAGTAATTTCAAAGTTACTATTAGAGAATGACTCATTATTATATTCTGTCGATATGTAACAATAGTAGTATCAAAACCTTTAAGCAACATATAATACATATGCATGGACTCATTTATTTACTTAAAACACACACACACACAACTGATTTCAATTTTTTTCATCACCATAAGTGTTGATTTCTATGTAAACACCAAAATAGTCAATGCACATTCTTTATGTTTGTATGTGTGTGTGTGTGTTTTATAACATAATTGTAACGAGACAGAATTATAAACAAACAATTTAGTGTAATCTTTCAATATTTTGATACCCACCACGCAATATTAATGGGCTCAGATACCCATATATGTGTTATATTACAATATGATGTTAGAAACATTTGGAAAATTGAAATATAATAGAATGAAAGACAACAACAAATGGATACATGTAGATCATATCAATTTACACAGATATAGAAAGTTTCAGTACAAAGCTAATAATTTGAATAATCCGATTTTTAAAATGAACTAAAACACCAAATGTAATGTGAGTAAATTTACAGTTTCAATGGATATAGTGTACATATGTACACCATAATGAAGTTCCTGTCTCTTCACAACTGTTGATGATCGACATATGTTGGTACAGTGTTTTTTCAGTATTACCCTTGTTTGTATAGAATGTGTTACCGAAAACAACTAAGACTAAATATGTCTGCGTAATATGAAATTGTTACCTTAATTAAACGTTTGCATCGACGATTACTTTAATCAACCTCATTTGACTTTATCAGAATCAAGTTAACTAGCCAACTTATTTTATTATTTCTCATCTGAATTGATTCTCAATGACTTTTGCTGACCTTTGATTGGTCGTTGCCACCGATGAGTTCCAAGGTCATTCTGTATGTTACTGTATACAGAGTTGTCCTGATTCAACTTCAACTGATTGGGGTCGTTAAAATATCAAGCCTTTTCCGTAATAATGGTCAAAGAGTTGTACATAACAGTACCATATACCATTGAGTCCGCATAATTTGCTATTCGTATAGAAAGAAAACTCAGCTGTATGTAATTAGAAAATTACCGTAGGCCCAAAATAAATTCCGATATCAAGCCATAATAGTATTATTATGCAAAAAAAAATTAAGACTGGCAAAATATACAGGTGATAATAAAATCACTTAATATCACAAATTTTAAGTTGGTTCGAAATTTGATTGATAATAAACTTTGAAATGTATTTTTTATAGTTGAAATCACGAGTCGATCAAAGTTAAACTACCAGTGATCTAGAAGTTAAATGTTCGTGCGCGAGACCGAAGGTCCTGGGCTCACGTACTGTGTGTGGGATCATGAATGCGTACTTCTGAGGAGTCCCATACTACGATGAAACGGCCATACAGTGCTTCCAGTTTTTCAATAGTGGTCTAGCTTAGATCGACTTATGATTACAACTGTGAAAATACCACAATCTTCACAAATCCCTGTACTGATAACATACTTTTAGACCAATATCCAAACTACTTTGTTAAAACGAATAATGCTTGCTATTGCTTGTCATTATCATCCAAAAGACACGTGTTCTCATTTGTAATTGCAACCGGTGTGTAGACATTAACAAACTTTGCCAGTTAACTCCTTACAACGATGAAGTTAAAAGTTGGTAGACGAAAAATTGATATTAATTGAGATGAATTGTAGTATTAGTATTTTAAAACAAATCATAAACTATACGCGGTATATTACAAAACATGTGCATTTTTTAATGTTGTATTATGGCTAAATTAATAATTGACCTACTCCATCTTTAATAATGAATCGACCAGCTTAATCCTGAACTGACTACTTTAAAATTGACCATGAAACCAGGATAATACTCAATCTTAGGTTTTTAGATGTAGTTAGCAGGAAACTCTCGTTTTGTGCTAGATAGAACTCGTCGGCAATGGATGCTTGCAATCTTCATGGAACTGATGCTCCTTGGGAACTTGAGTCGGCACCATTCAGCTTCACAATCTGAAATCCTATCCCTGAGGTATTCAGGTCGCAAATGACCCAATATAGAAGTGAAATAGTAGCCATTGTTTGGTCACTGAGTATTGACCGATGTATTTTATTTGTCTGGTCCTTCAGTGTCGATCGAATTCAACTGAGCATTTAGTAGTATGGCTACTAGCCTGAGTGACTAGAAATCGCGCACCAGAGGGAGTATTAGATCCATCAGGATTGCAAGTATCCTTTACCAACAAGTGCTAACCAGAAAGAAACGAGAACCAAGAAGAGTTTCTGTCCAAATACTTCCAACCATCTAACATCTAAAAACAATACACGCGACGCCAAGTCACTCAGACCGGTGGAGTAGATTACAAATTGATCGACTGAATTCTATCAGCAATAAAGAACTAAAGAAAAATGACATTGGTCACTTTTCAGCGATCAATCAATTGTTAATAATATATAAAATTGATATCTGTGATTAAATGTAAACGTTACAAATATGATAAGATCATGTTGTTGCTAGTCGTCTAAATTGACAAGTACCTTAAACAAACAGAGGTGATAGAAATTAAGATAGAATGATAAAATATAGAAATACATTTCTAGATAAATACTAATCAACACACCAATATACGTAGACTACAATAAATTATATAAATTTAGATTTTTTGAAAAAATAAAATACCAAGCTACAACGATTACCTGTAGAAACAATGAGTTTATTCATCAAATAATTTCAATTATACGATTCAACTAGCCTTCAACACAAAGATCACAAGCTCACATCCGCTTCGGCTACCAAGGCTTCAGCAGACAACCATGTAGTATTGTCAAGTCTTGGACATTTTACGAATATGAAACTGAATCATTCGTTTAGAACGAAAGACAAACTACATTTAAACGGTGATAAAATATAAATAGAGAAGTTTCGTGAAGACTGATTGAATTTTTAGGCTATATTAGGTATAGATTAATCTCACCTAAAGTACCAGGTCTGAGATTCAATCATTGAAGGGATCGTTAATGTTCACTGATTACGAGTCTCATACTAGAACGAAACAATCGTCCACTGCTTCCTAGCTTTCAATGATACTTCAATTGAGATCAATCTGTGTGTGATGAGTACAACCTGAGAATATCATAAAGACATTCTTTTTTTAAATAGAAGAAAATAAAACTGATTAAAATCTAAAATGACTTACATGTCAAGATTGTGGTGGCTGTAATAAAAATAAGAGAGAATAGAGAAAACATAAGTATTGTTATTCATAGTTAAGTAGATGTAAATCACAAATAAATATAGAAATCTGAATAAGAAAAATCCCATTGTTAATGCTGATATGACTCATATGGAGTGTTAACTTGAATCAGCTTATATGTTAAGTGAAAATTTACGAGTCATGATCAGAATGAACACAGGTCAGATAGGGTGAGAGAAATAATAGTGCAATTACAATTCGATCAAATGTTTAGTGGAAGATTATATTGTGTAAAAAATAATAAGCTGGGATGAATGCGAAGTGAATGAATCATGTATTGGGGAGATTAATAATGTTTAACCAATAGTAATAATAATATTAGCGATAGTAATACAAAGATTTGTAAATAAAGATAACAGAGACAATTACATTTAACTATGAAAGGTCGTAAGTACAATAGTCAAATTAAGTCATTCAATAGCTAAGACTACTATTGATTAATTGGCTTTGATATTGGCCAGGGAAGGAGAAGCGGTTGAAGGTTTTTTTGTACACAAAGCTCCGGTTTCTTAATCCAGATGACTACTATAAGTCTGACAAGCTTTGGTAGACAGTCACTGACCCGATAAATAATTGAAAAGGATTGGTTAATACTGGCACTATGACCATTTTGCACTAAATGAGCCAGTATCGAACTGTTCACTTTCTTCATCAGACTTGTGCTTAGTCATGCTGGGAGGTGTTCATGAGCACGATAATATAAATACCTAGAACTTCAACCATCATAACTTGTTCCACAGGGGCAGTCGAACTGATAAATACAAAATGAGGTAGTCATTCTAGATAATTCATCTTTTATCATCGGTGTCACCATTGGGCGCGTAGAAAACACTAATCGTAGTTCTCCGGCGTTGAGAGATTTTTGGATTATTCTGCGTAATCTCTGAGTTAATATTTCGCTAGCCGCATCCCCTCTGAATTATAGACACATGAACAGGGATTTCTTATTCACCGTTTGTATTTCGCCTATTCTCCTCTTCGTGACCATATATCTAATTATAAACTTTCTAGGGTATCTGTTCTCCCTGAGTATTACTCAAGATGTTTAGCTCTTCTTCAACTATATCCATAGAACATATAGTGTGTATTCAGTAACCAAGAGTTTTGACCAGGTTTCTTTTGTACGGTAGAGGTACATAGCTAAGGAAATGTGTGTACTGCCCTGTCCATGTACTTTTTCTGTTTAAATTCCTTTTTAATGATCCATCAGATCTTTTAGTTAAGAGCACGTCCCAAAAGGCTATTCTACCATCACTATTCTTCAGATGTAAACTCAATGGCTGGATGTACTTCATCAAACTGCCTAAGAACCTCTTGCTGTGATGTATTATCTTTACAGAGGATGAATGTATCGTCCAGTAAAATGTGAATTTTCGAATCATCTTTTTGCATGGACCATTTTCTAGCTTGGCTAGAAAAAACATTTAATCAAATTGTAATTGTATTATTATTTCTCTCACCCTACTTAACCCATATTTATTCTGATCGTGGATCTTAAATCCCATTGTATTGAATTGTGATATTCGATTTGCTGTCTATTTGGCTTACAATTTAGTAGTGACAAACATGTTATTCCGTGTGTTGAACAATTTCACATTTAAAAAAAAAGGCAAATAAAGATGGCTGATACACCTTACACGTTCCATATCTCATTGAGAAACGTAAAATCTTGTCATAATTACAATCCTATAGAATAATGTTAATATATTACTAACATAAAATTCATTACTTTGAATCCTATAGACAAGCATTGATAAGTGTAATCTCATAAAATGAGAAAATGTCAGGAAAACATAAGAAAATTTATGATTGGTTATAATATTATTTTTCAAATGAAATTATCTTATTCCCTGCTCAAATTTAAAGTCATTCGGGTCCAATAAGCGGTATTCATGTGAATGGTAGAAGCATTTGATATTCAACAACCGGATATAAAATTATAAGAAGTGATTTTATGGTTTACATTTCTTAATCCCATAACTGTGTTTTACAGACTTACTAAGTTATGAGTAATAAGATTTAAAAAACACGTGTAAGGAAAATGTTAACAAGGATACTGCTATTCAATAATAAAATACTATTTGCCTACAAACTAAGTATACTCATCATTTAACTACCAAACCTTTGTTTCAGCAAATAAATGCTCAATAGAAAGAAAAATCAAGTATAAATACTAATCACATTTCTTTAGATGAATGAAAGTTGTTGTTGTTGTTGTTGTGGTGGTGGTGGTGGTGGTGGTGATGAAGCAAATACGATAACATTCAAAGTATTTCACGAAATGGAAGTAGAATAAAAGTACATTTAAACAACAAATAGAAATAGGTGAGATGACAACCTTAAATTCTTTACTGAAAATATCACCATTAATTTATCTCACAATAATTCTTATATTATACCAAAGTACATTGGCACATCACAACAAAGAGACAACAATTCCTATAACAATAGCTCAACTAAATTAATTATTGATTAAATGAAGTATCTGTTATTATATTTGAATAGGTTTTGTGGAAATCACTTTAATTTGTAGGTAGTGTTCGTCCTCATGAGGAGCTTAGACATATCGGATGTGAAACAATTGTCAATAACGGGATTGGATAACCATCGAGCTATATAACAAATTTACCAATGTCAGAATGGTACCATTACAGGTCGACTCTGTGGTTCTAATGATTAAACATTTTCAGAGAAATATGAAGGTTCTTGGTTCGATCCCCGATAGGATTGTTGATCCTCCCTCGTGAGATGTTCCATATAAGGATGAGACGGATGTCCAATGTTACCCAATTTTCAACGGTACCCAATCTCAGACCGATGGACGATAGAAACAATTTAAAAATTTAAAAACTCCGTCATTTTGATTACAACATTTCTTCTCTTATCATACTTTCTCTTATTTTTGAAGATGATACAATTTGTGGATAAGAAGAGATTATTAGTGTAAAATTCCATTCAATAAATTTAAACCAAACTATTACAATAATAATGATAATAACCATAATGTAACTTCTGCAAGAATAATCTATCACAAATAGTTTATTATTATTATTATTGTTAGTATTATTATTATTATTTCATTGAAATCAGCTAATCAAACATACTATTAGTCAATGCCAGCAATTGTTATTTAGTATTCATCCCCATCAGTAGTATATTCCTGAACATTTTCATCATTCATTTCATAATGGTAACTTAACGGAAAAAACAAGTCATGATATTGACTGAAGTAAACTTTTATAATTGTTATCATAATTATTATTATTATTATTATTATTATAAAAGCCATTCAAAATTAAAATATTAGAACCATTTTGCTTCCCAATTTGTTTGTTTCCTATGAAAGTAAACAAAAAACACAAAAATAGCATGTTTCCCATTCTCATCCTTCATTTTTTTTATAGTCCATTGATGAGAATTTATCAACTCACTATATATATATATATATATATATATATATATATATATATATACATATATATATATATATATATATATATATATATATATATATATATATATCAGTTATCAGTAATCATTTAATAAATATTCTTATTATAATTTAATAATTGAATTCACGAGTCAATTGAAGCTAGACCACTATGGAAAACCTGGAAGCACTGGAGGGCCGTTTCATCCTAGTATAGGACTTCTAAACAATGCGCATTCACGATCACGCCACGCGGGATTCGAATCCAAGATCTATCGGTCTTGCGCGCAAACGCTTAACCTTTATAGTCAAACTGTAAATGGACTTAAAGTTTGTGAATCAGTGTAATATGTAAGTTAATGAGTGAATAGGATTAAGTATGAAACAAGCTATCATTCATTATTTTTTCATTAAGCAAATATTTATAATACCATAAAATTTAATTAATCCCAACTTATTATTAACTATATAAAATCATTAAATTCATTTAAAATTATGAAATTTAAGACAATAAAAAATAATTAAAAAAGAATTTGGAATACGAATTTCTAGGTGGTAGATGAAATGTTATTATAAATGGCGAGTCTATAATTTATGGACGAACCAATCATGTATAAGATAACAGGTTTCGAATTTTGGCGCGAAATTCACTCATCTATTTGAATAAATAGAGTTTTGACATTATAGCTAATGTCAGTTCGTAATGAAAACCCTAAATCTAATTTCTAACCTTAACCATCAACTATAAATCATAATTCTAATTCATTGCCATCATTTGGTCCTAGTTATTAGGTGGGTACTTTCAAGGTCAGTTTATCGTCACTCAGAGGTTGTCCATAAATTATAGTCACACCGGATTGAACATTTAACTGAACAAATTTTTTTACAATGTTCAACATATTTAAAAGAAGATGCTTCGAAAAGTTAATACACGTATTGGTATAAGCGCCAAACAATGAAACGTGTCTGTATATTTTTACTATTCATACGTTATTGTATTATTCATGATCAATGCTGCTCCACCTTTCCTAATTATTATTCTGTATGTAAAATGATTGAAAACTAGAAGAATTGATGTAGAGTGAGCACTTATTATTATTATTATGTTATGGGTGTATAGAATGAGAAATTCATCAGTTAACTAACCAACTCAATCATTATTTATGATTATTCTTATTTTATTACTCCACTCTACTCATTTCCAGCTCATTAACGTACTATATTGAGTTAACGAGTTGTTAGTAAATATAGAAAGGAGAAAATATTCAAGTATTGAATAATGAAGTAGAATGGTGTGTGTGTGTGTGTGTGTGTGCAAAACACATTGATCATCACACATTATACATTTACTCAGAAAAAAATCGCTCGCAATTCTTACAATCAGATAATTCAAAAAAACGATACACAATCAACAAAATTTCACCTATTTTCATAAGATTTCTAAAATATCGAACATAAATAATAAAATCAAAAGGGGGTTTGTGGATATTATAGTAAATAATGAAAGCTGAAATGGATATGAAAAATTTCT